GAGCATATAACACATGGACCCCTGAGGGACCAAACTTGTGTTAGCTTTTCCATTCTTGGGAGGTAGTTTTTTTTATTTCTTAAAACCTAAAAGCTCAAGCCCAGTACTTTATTGTCATGCCAATGTTGACTCACGGGGAGAACATAATGCAATATAAATAAAATAGAGGTGGCACTGCTAATATTCTCCCAGGATTCTCAATTTTCTTATGTAAAATTAGGGATTGCAAATGATTCAGTGAATGACAAGACAATGTCAGCTGTTTCTAGATTTGTTTCTAGCAATAAGGATCAATTGACCGACAACATAAAAATTATGTTGGAGAGCTGAGTCGAAACGCTACATTGCAGTAGGTGCAAAAGTTTCAAATAGCTGGTTTCTGTTTTAAATTTCTTTGCCAATATCATTGCAGGTATACACAGTAACAGTGAAAGGGTGGCCTATTGATTAAGTTCCACAGTTGTTTTCTTGTTTTTAAATTCACCCTTTACCCAAACACCCAAAACAAACGGGAAAGGCTTGTGGGAGGAAGGCCATCAAACAAAAAAACGGGTGGAAGATCACTTTGTGGACTATTAGGATTGCAACCAGTTATAACAGAAAAAAACGATCTAAAGTAGCTACTTTCATCACTGTGTATCTAAAACACAGTAAATCAACGCTGCAGCTATGGGTCTTTGTTTAGGCAAGTCAGTTTTCGTCTGGGAATTCTTTGAACACTGGACTGCTGCTATTATGCTAAGATTCCTGGCAGTGTCAGCACCTCTCCATCCCAACTGTTAATGTGTTCATTGAGGAAAAGCAACACCCTCTTGGTTCAACTGCCCCACTCTCTTTGTTCAACCCAGTGCCAACGGGTCTCAGTGTAAAACTGTTCATGTTAATTGACCAATGGCAACTAGCCATGAAGGAGGAGAGGCGACAGACCTACCAGTGTGTTCTATATTAAGATATCAGGAGTATAAACCTAACAGTCCTGGCATTAGTTTAAAGCCCCTGATGAAAAGCACATGACTAACGTCCCAACAATGTCTATTCACATCTTGTCCTTGGGACGTACAGATGGTGTGATCTCAGAGTTGAGAGCTCTGAGCTGAAACTAAACCTCTCACCCTTACAGCGGAGGTTTTCCGTCAGAGGGGGGTGTTTTGGGTCTGCAATTTTTTTTTTCTCTCAGAGAGGGTGATGCTGTTCCCTGTTCACTGGAAATGTATTGACTGAGGCTCCAACCCTCAGCCTTCCAGCTGGACCCTGCTGCTGCTCTGCTTATTGTGTGGGGTTTAAAGCAGGACACAAACACACCTGACGGCAGAGGTAGGACACAACCAGGACTGTTTACCAAGAAAATGATGCAAGCTTAAAAATGTCTTTCCTGCATGATGAATTTGGGATGCCTTTTTTTTTGAAGAACACAACATCTTTGTGGAGCCTGGATATGCCAGACTACTCTTGGGTTCTTTAAAAGTCATTGTTTTATTGGATTTTTATTTCTTCTTTTCTGATGGGAAGACTGTATTTGTTAGAGCTGGAATGGAAATTCAGAACAACTTAGTTTTAATAACATAATTACAAACAAATGCTTAAAAGGATCTAGAATAACTTTTATTTGACTTTTGAATTTGAGCATCAATAGTGATGATTTTCTGTCTTTTTTTATTTCCTAACGGGAGTTTGGGCAATCATAGCAATTTTGTTGCTATGATTGCAATTTTAAAGCCAGTATTAAATGAAGATCTTCAAAGCTTAATGCTTTCACATTCAAATAAATAAATATTGTATCAATAGAAAATATATTTTGAGTTGATCAGTATAGAATTCTCAATGATACATTTATATAAATTTAACATTATAAAGACAAATTAAATGCAACATCTCGATAGAAAAACCCTTTCTCTTTTTGCTTTGTTTACTACGACTGTTTCTTTGATCTACTTGGGTTTTAAAGTGCTGGTCAGCAAACAATATATTTATGGATTTTGTCTGAGGTTTTGGCTTTCGAAAATCTGGAGGTTTTTACTGTACCGCAGGGAAAAGCATATAGACTTAATAATTCCTAGTTGAAACACTGTGAGGTTTTAATAGGATGAAGCATTGCAAATCTGACTGTCACTTATGTCAGTCCTTTGGGGGCAGAAGGGGTTGAAGTCAGTTTTGCCTGGTTTTGATTTTATAGACATCAGAAGTCTATCTGTCTGCACTGGATGTCTCTGGAGTTATGTAAAACTTTATGACTTAATAGTCAGAAATATTCCATGACATAAAATAAAGCAATAATGCAGAAATTATGTCTAGAACTAAAATACAAAATAATTATTAAAACGCTATGTATTCATGTGTGTATGAGAAAGAGTCTGGGTTCAGGGGAAGGGTCTGTGAAGGGAGGTATTTGCTGTCACTGCAGGATCCTCGACCACCACCACATACTTGTGGGTCGAGTGAACACTCATCTTGAGGGTTTAGAATCCATGAAGTTTGCCAGAAGCATACAAGCAGACAGTCCCAGACGAGCTGAGCCCCCCTCTCTCTTTTCAGTTGGCTTTGTGAATATGTAATTTAGGAAGACATATAAATCATTCTGTGAATCACCACAGATGGAGAATAGGTGAGAGCTTGCAAAACATTTATTTTGGCGACAGGAGCTCATTTCCAGGAGATGTTTTCAGAGGCTCATGGAAACAATGACAATGAAAAAAAGAACAGCACTTAAACAAAGTGATCACTTCAGGAACTGTAAACGGCTCCTTTTACCTACTGTGCTGTTTTAGCAATAAAATCATAACTGCAGAATTGCAATTGAATCCCAGCAGTGATGAACACAAGGCTGCTATAATTTTTATGTCCTAAAATCTATAAACAGGCAGTTGGGCTGTTAAGTCTCATACAAAAGAATAAGAAAATGATTAACAGGAGTATGAATCATGCCAGATGTACTGCAGGATGTTACCATGGAAGTGGTGGTAATGATTTCAGGAGAACTTCTGCCATTTCTATACACACGATCTATAAAGACATCAGAGTAGCTGTGGTATTGTTAGATTCAATTACATTTAAGGTAATGAATGTTTATCCATGGCCATTTTAATCTGATAATATGCATCAGATTTAGCTAAGTGCTCCAGTTTATTGTTTGAGTTGTCAGCCAGGATACCATCAGCTAAAATGTAATCCAAAATTGTAACTCTCAGTTTTAGTACACATATTTTGCATTCATGTAAGTGTGTAGCCTCTCTGTTGAAGCACCGATGTCAGTCAGAGGTGAGAAGGTGGTGACACTGTGTTGCGTAATGTCTTAGACCATGGCAGACAGCAGCCCCGGGCATCAACAGGACCAATGCATGGTAACAGTCATTGCAGCAACCACTCTACCGGTGGACAACACGAATAAAATGGCTTCCACCATGTTTTTAGCCAACAATTTCTCCAATTAGTCCACAAACTCCTCTCGCCATCCCTGCCTTTACTCATCTACATTCAAGCCAAGTGAGAATACAGAGCCAGAGCGGTGCAAACGTTGAATGGAACTTGATTATTTAGTCAATATAAACTCCAATATAAACAATTTGAGGAATTATTACCACAAACAAGTACATTTAGTTAACATAATATAGACTTCATATTCGCTCACAGGAATACTTTTAAATCAGATATCCTATTTACCATTGAGAATATACACGTGGTGTTAACTGATATGAGTCCAGTTATTGTCATAGAGGCTAAATTAATTAATTAATTAATTAAAAATAATGAGTCAAACAACTGAGTGTTTTATCTCACAAGAAACAATATGAATTAGACTTGACTTTAAAATATACCCAAACCAAAGAAGAGGCAATAAAACGTTACCAACGAATAATAATGAAATGCTCTATATCCTAGTGTTGTGCAGTGTAGTGGCAGAGTGTAGTGTTTCACTCAGTGTACTTATTTTAGATGTTGAAAGTTTTTTGTGGAAAACAAACATCAATGTGACAGATTTTCTCAGTACTATGTCATTTACAGTATTTCTGCTGTGCGTTTACCCAACTCCCTTCTTGTTTCACAGCTCTCCCTAATTAGTTTCAGAGACCAGGAAAAAAAAAACATGAGGGTCTTCATTCTGCTTTGCCTGCTGGCATTAGGCAATACCAAACCGTACCAGCCAGTCAACGTAATGGAGTTTATGAAAAACTACGACATCATGATGGCTGATGCAGTTGATGACGACGATGATGAAGAAGATGACGATGACAGTGATGAGGATGAGGGCTCTGAGGAAGAAGATGAGAATTGCCCACCGGGTTGCCATTGCTCACCCAGGGTGGTCCAGTGCTCAGACCAGGGTACTCAGATCAAAAACACTTTGTCTAGCCACCTATGAGTTTCTAGTTGAAGCAGATGCACCTCATTCCATTTAGTTCAATTCAGTCTCTAATCAAAGTATATGTTTTTTGTTTTTTTTTTTGGCCCACAGGTTGTTAGTCTGTTCCCGAGAAGATCCCTGAAGAGATTGTGTTACTAGATCTCCAAAACAATGATATAACTGAGATCAATGAGAATGACTTTAAGGGCCTTAGCAAGCTCTATGTAAGAGACTTTCTACAATTGCTCAGAACGTTGCACACATTACAATACAAAGTATTTTCCTAACATGAATTTAAATACCACGTGGTTATGGCTGTCCAGAAAAAAACAGAGAGTGACAAGAATCCACTGCTGTGATGAAACAGTTCCAGTCACAGCTCATGCAGGAAATGTGAATTTAGTCATCCTGTCAAATCCTGAAGGTACTGCAGAATAGAGCGGGGACAGAACAAACACCATACAAATGTCTTTTAATTTGGCATTTGTAAAATACCAGACCTGAACCAACAAATGGAAACAACTGACTGAAAAATGTTTAAAGAACGCAAATACTTCAAATACTCATACTTCATGTAGTTGAAAATATTTATCATCAAATGAATTGAGTGAGCGGGCATGCAATCTTAAGGGGGCGTTGGACTGAGATGTCTGGTGAATTGTGAGACATGAAGCCAAGACAATCTGTGGAGTGAACAAAAACACATACAAATACAATTCTGTATCTTATAAAATTGACTTAATTTGGCTAAAGAGCACAGGATACAGGCGACTGGAGAGTCTGTCTACCATTTTAATTCTTTGTTTAGCATCTGGAAATAAATTACATCAAAGTCCCCAACTGCCGTATCGCAACATATTGTGAAAATCTGCAGTCATGGCATTCAACCAGTGAAATAACTAAGTATAACTGTGTATCATAATGCAATAATTACTTTGATATGAAGCAGATTTTAGCTATGAAAACCATTTGTCAATGACAAGTCATTTATCAATCTTTTATGATAAAAAGTACACGTGTTTAAAAATGAAGTCTGAAATATAATTGCTGACTTGTAAAGTAACACCCTGCCAAAAGTTTTCTTTGTTCAAGCATGAATTTGTATCTTTTTTTCTTTTTTAACAGAAGATGCATCAACATATTGTTTGGCTCTCATAACTAAAACGTTTGGATGTCTTCCTCTGACAACAGGGCCTGTTCCTGATTAACAACAAAATATCTAAGATTCATCCTAAAGCTTTCAAAAACATGTACAACCTCCGACTGTTGTACCTCTCCTACAATCTGCTGACTGAGATCCCTGCTAACCTGCCTCCCAACGTCATTGAGCTCCGCTTTCACGAAAACAAGATCAACAGGATCCAGAAAGATGCGTTCAAGGGCCTGAGGAAACTTCATGTACTGGGTAGAAAAGCCTTTACTTGTCATGTGATGTGTTCTACCAGCAGGTTAACAGTTAATATTATGTCGAATTTTTAAGAGTATAATGTACAGTACAGTATTAGAAATAATGACAAGGATTATTGTTGTCACAGAACTGGGGGCCAACCCTCTCGCTAACAGTGGTATTGAACTGGGAGCTTTCAATGGCTTATCAACTCTATACATTGGTATAGCTGAGGCCAAACTGAATGCCATACCAAAAGGTAAAATTATAAATCACAGTCATTCTATAAACTATGTTTGTTTTTTTAAGATCTGCTATGTTCTTCTTCTATGATCTTAACAACATCTTTATGTTTCTAGACTTCCCATCCTCCATCACAGAAATGAGCCTGGACTACAACAAGATCACAAAGGTGGAGGTAGAAGATTTCATCAGATACAAAAACCTTCAAAGGTGAAGACTAACCAGAATCCTACCCCATTTTTTGTAAATCTTAGAAACATAAATCCATGTGGAATTCATTTTCATCTGTCTATGCAGCACATTTTATTAACAGTATAATTAACCAGTCTTTCCCATTTTTACAGACTTGGACTTGCTTTTAACCAGATCAAGTTTGTGGAAAATGGCAGCCTTGTAAGCATCCCCAACATCCGTGAAATTCACCTGGACAACAACCGGCTAAAAAAGGTCCCACCTGGCCTGAACTCACTGCGATACCTCCAGGTAAGGTACAAACTTTGTAACCAAACTGGTACTAATTTTTGCCATTTGGAAGCAGAGAAACAGACAAGCAATATTTTCCAAATTTGGCTACATTTCTATAATGCAATCAGACCAGCAATCCTTTGTGTTAACGTTTATTAAGTATTTCTAGCTTATGGCCACTAGGTGGCGGTAAGACATCCCTGTTTGTTTGTGTGCGTGTGTAAATCATTGATTTTTTTCACTTGAGAAAACCTGTTGTGTCTTGTCTGTTCAGATGATTTTCCTCCATGGAAACAAAATCAGCAGTGTTGGAGTCAATGACTTCTGTCCCATTGGGTCCAGTGTCAAGAAGAACTTGTACACAGCCATTAGTCTGTTTGCCAACCCTGTTAAATACTGGGACGTGCAGCCAGCTGCCTTCCGCTGTGTGACTGGACGGAGGGGTGTTCAACTCGGAAACTTCAGAAAGAAGTAGACGGAGAAGAGGAACTTGAAGTAATAATAAAAATGAAGAACTGCCAACGTTTTTGTTTCACCATACAAACAATAAACTGGAAATAACTGTCATAGATAAAATTCCACAAATTTCCAAAGACATTTTCATTTTGTCAAATTTTGTTTAACAAAACTCTAGTCTGGACATTGGATCTGGTGACATTAATGGAACCACAAACTAAAAACACACAGAAAGAGTCAGCAGGAGTTAGCTACTGGTAGAACGGGGAAGGTTACAACATGAACAGCGGCATTTTTAAGGACTATTACATCAAACTCTTGCATGAATATTTACATTCATATAAGATGTCTTTTGTCATATCATCCTTATTTTTGTGCTGCATAAATATTTTAAGGAGTAAACTGCCTTACCATGGTCTACGTTTGAGCACAATCAACCAGTAACTTGAGTTGCAAAATATGTGAAAACAATTTTAGTGCCTTTTTTGTCTTGTAAAAATAAGATTTTTTTTGTTAGAGAAATATACATTTTTCCTCTTCTGCTACAGTCATTGGATTATGCTGGTTTCTTTCAGCCCCTGTCTTCACATGGATGTTTTCTATTATCTATTGCATGTAATTTTGTTCCCTTAGAATGTTAGACTGGATTATAAAATGATGTAAGAGGTCCCTCTGCCGGACTAAAGAGGTTACTGGTTCAATTTTTAAATAGCCTATAGCAACCAATGGGAACCATTTTTGATGTAACTGTTGATGATACAGTATTCAAGTACACAAATGTGCCCTTGTTTGTTTACTTTTTTCCATCATCTAAAATGGTGCTATATTTATTGTCTTTAAATAAACCTGATAAACCTCCATCGTTGGTTTGTTGGTTTTAATTAAGTAAAAGTTGTCACAACAGAACTATCTCATCATGCTATGTGGAATTGTAAGTAAGTAAAGAAGATTACATTTAATTTAATTTATTTCATTTAATTGCGGCAACAGCCAAGGCGTGTTTTTTTAAAGACAGATATATAGAGTAGATTGCTAAACAATGACATTCATATGGGGGGTTCTTTGACAATTACTTTTTAATTCTTGGCAACAGCTCGTGGGTGTTAATGTGGGTGAACCTTTTTCGTGATCCACTAGATGCATCACAAAATTATTCCACAGATGATTTTTTTTTTTATCACAAAAATTATTTTATAATTTCCCTCCAAATTATACCAGACTGAGTCGATTTAAATTAGCTGATATTTATGGAGGGATGTTAGTCTCCTGACCACCAGGTGTTATTATTGTTCTTTCTAAACAATAATTCCATCTTTCTTGTGTTATGTATAAAATTAATTAAAAAAATCTAAAACGATTTTATTTCACAAAGAAATCACATCATACTATAAACATGCTGTAGGGGGAGGTATTGCGGTTGAGAAACGGGAAAGAATTAGAGAAATAATTATACATCTCCACCTGCAGATGTCAGTAGAGGTTTTGAGATTGGTTTGAATAAAGGGCGAAACCCTTTGCATTTCAGTCTGATGGTGTTTGGAAACAGTTCTATTCTAGATAAAGACAGAAGGATTTGTCACATTTGATTTACTCTTAAGATTTCACTTTTTATAAACAAATCACATTACATCAGGGTATTTTGGGACTATCAATTCAACACCAAATATTTTCTGAGTTAATGCTACAAAGTTTTGCCCAACGATTGAAGATAAGATGACAAGTGGATTTCCTCATGGAATTATGCACTGCTGGTTACAACACTCATTGCTTTGTGGACTATCAGCGGTTCCTTTCATGTAACAAACTGTTAATGTTATGCAAATAGAAATAAGGTAATTTAACAACTGCCTAGAAACATTGAGTCCCTGAGATTCTTTAGACTAGTCATTTATTTATGTTGGGGCCAAAAAATATTCTTATTCATCCATGGTCCACAGAAATAAGCATACTCCTGTAATGGCTGACACACGTAAAGGAATGATCAATGTGAAGGAGTGCCAGGTCATGTTTGTTTTATTTGCCCACTCAGTCTCAGTCTCTGTGTGAGGCGAGTGTTAAACAGCAGCCAGTTCCCTGCAGACTCAGAAACTCAACACCAGGCAGCTGCCGTCTTCATATCCACCATTACCTGACACTGATAAACAATGTTCCGGCATCATGTGGCAGGAAAATTCTATATCTTAATGCTGCAGAGGGTTTACTGCTTGAATAGTTAGGCTTTACAAATGAACACCCATCTCTCTCACACACACGTTTCCACTGTCTTCCTGTCTTTTTCTTCTTCTCACTCAGAAACATATGGAACAGATCTGCTGCTTGGCCTGGCCTCGTTCTGCCACGTCTCACAGTTCCCCCCAAAACACACACAGATGCACACAGACACACAAAAATGTCCTGAAACTTCAGGGCTCCCCCCAGCTTTTGCTTTTTGTCATCTACTTTACTCCTGTCATCATCCCCCCCACCTTCCAATTACCCCCCACCTCCCCATTAGCCTGTGTAGAAGAGCATTTCAAGCTTACAGCAATTCTGCTGTTAATTGACCCATTTAAAAAGATGGTCAAGAACATCATTATGTTCTTCACACATCACCCTAATCATCATGTCATTTACATAGCTGTCCACTGCTTCTCCTCAAGCACCTGAATACCACTTTGAATAAAATCACTCTTTTAATGCAAATTATTTGCATGATCTTGTCTTTGAGTTAGTTATTTGAGCAACTAATTATCAAAATCTGAAGTAATGGTTAAGTCAATGAATAAGACATGCATACTTACAGTAAAATGACTAAATACTCCTTTACTGTGAGAAATAGAATAGAAATATTATACCTGTCACCTGTGAGTCTCTCACTACATAACCCAATTCTGTTAAAGACCTCATTAGGCCGGATACTAAGGCACGGCTGATCACAATAATTCAATAATCATATATTATCTCAAGGTCAATTACATCTGAAATGCCAGTAAAGCTGTTCAAAATCTTCCTTACTTACTTTACCATAAATGTAACATATGGTATAGTGAGTAAAAACACAAAACTATTGATGGATATTTCAAGCCTTGGTGGCTAACAGAGCCAAATATCTAATGAGTCACAAAACCTCAACTGATGCCGAGAATCCGACCTTTTAAGATGACAGTGACTGTAAATGTAAAAAAAAAAAAAAAAGTTCAGGGAAATGGATACTTAGTCTGTCAAGTCTTCAACTATCCTAAGACACACACGTGCACAAAAAAGCGCAACAACCAGACATACACCAGCAACTCATCCAGGGCAAAGTCAAGGCTAAACGAGGCCACTGGAATGAAAATGTTTAGAAGTGAAAACTGAAAGGCCTGTTTGTTCATCTGAGGGAATCACAGCACTGAGAAAAAAGACTGACAAGAAAAATGAGCAATGAGTGTGGAAAACACGCCGATGGCTGTGTGGCCTTGGAGTGGAAAAACCTGGACTACAATAAATGTTTGTTAGAGAGTGAAAAGGCAAAAGAGAGAGACGGAGAGAGAGAGAGAGAGCGAGAGAGAGAGAGAGAGAGAGAGAATGCAGATGTAACTGGGAAAAATCCAAACTGTCAAATAAAAGGTAAACTGAGCAAAGTAGTAAAACCGCACATATTCACCATCAGATCAATTCCAGGTTTACAAGTTAATTTCAAAAGCTACTTTTAGTAAGGTAGACAGCTAAATGTTTTTTTGTTTCGCCACAAGCTTTTTAAAAGCCAATACTTTTGTAGTAGAACTCAACTACGAATCACAGGAAACCTTTTATGGACAAAAACTGTAGTCTCCTGTTATGCAAACTAACCACAGGCCTTTAAGACAACAGACACAGGTATGGCAGCTGTACTGTTTGCTGTAAAAAGTACCTGGAGTAACAACTCCAAGATGGGAACACTAACTGCTAATAAAGGCCTTTCTAGTTGAAAATGTGGACACTAAGACTCAGCTATAACCATAGGCACTCATTTTAGAAATACTAAATCTGGAGCTTTTTGATGAGTGCTCCAATGAAAAGAGACTTTATCCAGATGGCATCTACAGCTGAGGAAACATTCACGTTCTCCTCATCACAATTAGCACTAAGGGAAACATTCAGTACCACAATTTCTAATCAAACAGACATAATTGCATGAACATGGGACCTTTTCAGAATTCCACTGCCTCCACACAGCGAAAATACATTGCCTTCAACCAAAAACAATAACATGGATGGATTGTAACTGCAGTGGAGAGTTAGCTACTGTAAAAAAAAAAAACGATAATTCTTCTGCTGGAAGACAAACATATTTTTCACCGTAAAATACTGCACCGACCAGCAGTTAAACCAACGATGCGCTTCTGTTCACACTAAATGGTGTGTTTCAAGCATCAGTTTTCCATATCATATATTTTAATTTTATTAAATAAATATAATATTATGATTACTTCAAAAGAACCCTGGTCAACTTGCTCTACAAAGACGCAGCAATAATAATAATAATAACTTGAAAACAGATGTCTGTGAACTTTTAGTTTTATCTGTCAGCAGTATCCATGTGAAGACCTAATGTCTACCGGCTGATGGTATTTTAACTGATAAAGTGGTACACAAAGTAAAGTGGACTACAAACAAACATCTCTGTGTAGAAGCCTTGTAAAATAATCAAGGGTCTGATTAGGGAGCAATGATGGTGATTATCTACAGTGACTCAAGCTCACTGTAAAACACTTTTCACATGGACCTTTTCTACGAGAAGGAAAAAGGAAAATGCTTGGATAACAAAATTCAGTAGTCATCCGAGAACAGAGAAGAACTATGCAGCACCACCGCAAACTGGATCCCAGTCAGGCAATAATACTCTCCATATGTCTCATACTGGTTTTGTCCATATCGTCATGTCTCAGTTGATAGTTTAATCAGAGCCAGTCTCTTCCAGTCCAGTGCTAAACATACTATCATGAAGCCACCGAAACGCATAGCAGGAACAAAAGAGCCGGCTGTGTGAATATTATTTATTTAAATTGTATTATTGATTTGCTTCATGCAGCTCTAAGACGTCTTCAGGACAGATATTTTATGTCATAAAGTGAGCTTTAACACATGATCTGAACACAACATAAACAATCCAGGCTGTCCACCAAGCTATGGAATGTCGTGGTGGATATTTTGATTTGTTTTGAGTCAACAACAAGCTTAAGCTGGGATAAGAAATTACACACTTGGAGAAACAGTACAGAGGGTTTACAAATTCATTAATCATATTTTGACATCAGTTACAGTCCACGCACACAAGCAGTTATTTCTTTTTGTTTTTGAAATCTCTATCCATGTATTAAACACCTGTTCCACTTGCTTCTTGCTTCTTGGTCAACAGACAAAAATCTGACTGCAGTTTATCAGCCATCATAGACAGATCGACTGGTAAAGCATGACAGAATCATATGTGCTACATCATGCCTCCGATTCTCGGACTTCCTCCGTATGCGTCTTCAACATCTGCTCTACATCTGTATCAAAACCATGAGAAGTCACAGCAGATACTAGCAGAGCCTCTACACTGGTTTTGATAGCTTTATTAGGTGCCTCCAAAAACAAACAAACAAAAAAAAAAAACCATTGACTCAATAAGCCATTTAAATGAAGTGCTCCGTTTATAAAACAAAACGATATAGCTTATAAAACAGAAATAGATCTGCTTATAAAATGACTACACGGGCTGGACTATAAGTGGATATCAAACCTTAATAGACCTCTTTTAAATATTTATAAAATGTTACGCAATAAGGGTATTGATGTCCATAAATAAAAAACGAGGAGA